ATACAAATTACAGTTGATTATATTTGAATGTCATTTTCCAAATCAGCAAGGATGGAACGAAGCTTGGGAGGCAGTGAAAATGACAGGAATTCTGTCCTGGATGAAGGCAATACGATGATCTGTGTGCATTTGCGGGCAATATATAATACTTTCATGGATGCTGGAGGTTGACCTCAGAGTTATTGCTCGTAGCTGATCTTATTCATGATAGCCTTCACTGTGGAGATTAATTTGAATTAATAGTCAGCATGAAACTCCTCACTAGACTGTTTTCCCCCCACAGTCCAGCGAATCTTTGTCCTTCTCTCCCTCCTCGTTGGAAATGTCAGGCATCTTCCTCTCCACCTGCCACACAAACTCTGTCTTCTCTCTGACACCTTGTTTGACCTCCTTTGTTCATGTTGAGTTCTCCTTGCTCAGTCCACGTGGCATTGCTCATGTGCAGATTTAACTATGACTTGTCCTGTGTTGTTAGGTATTGTTGGAAATAACAAAGTCTTATTTTAATAAATGATACTAGGTGATCCTGGAGAGACAGTGCCATAACTCTTCGGTCCTCTGTGCATTGTAGATGTATTTATTATATATTTATAAGTATACAGTTTATGGCTAGATGAGGTTTATAATTTACTCCAGCTGTATCATCTTATGGACAAAAAAAAAAAATATGAAGTTATAAAGATGTAAAGTAATTTCTCCCAAGGGTTATATAGCTAGTGTTAGAGATAAAGCCAGGACTGGAAGTTAGATATCCTGATTTCCAGTTTAATACAATTTCTACTCTTCCTTATATTCAACAAATATTTATTGAGTATCTACCAGGTGGCAGGCACTCTGCTAGGCTCTGATACTGCAATGTTGGTTTGGAACTTATACTGTGATCATGGAGGAAGATGTTAACAAATATACAAATACCATATTTTCCGGCGTATAAGACGACCCCCTAATTTTACAGTTAAAACATAGGTTTAGACCTATATTCACTGTATAAGACTACCCCCCACTTCCGAGGCAACACCAGTTCTTTTTTTTAATAGACCGCCTCTCTGAATATGGCCAATCTGAGCAGGCTTTTTACTAGAACACTGTGTAGCTTCGGGTACAGAACATGTATAATTTGCATGCATAAAAAGCCTGCTTGGATTGGCTGAGTTAGAGAGACGGTCCGAGTAGCCTTCCAGTGATTGGTGCGGGATCGCATTGGAAAATTCGTTTAGCAGCATATCCAGACGATTTTCGGGATCGAGTTGGAAAATTCATTTAGCGGCATATCAAGACGTTTTTTGGGTTATACTCGGCGTATAAGACGACCCCCGATTTTCAGTTGACTTTTTTTTGGTTCAAAAGTCGTCTTATACGCCGGAAAATATGGTACTTGTATGTCAGCTACGTTAAGGATTATGTAGTGCTGTGAGACTAGGTAATGGACAGAAAATTGTAGGACTTGGCATTGTATTTATATGCATCTTTAAATGCTTTGAAGTTAGACAAATATTTGTGTGCTCATTTTTCTGTGTTGAGTCCCAAAAGAAATTAGGGTCATTAAGCTACAGCCCCTTTCTTCAACATATAGTCTACAACAGGGATAAGGCAAGCCGTTAATAATTCACACAAAGTAATATGTACAAGTCCCATTGTTCAAAGGGCGCAAAGACCACATTTTGGGTGGAGAAGAGAAGTATCAGAGAGATGGCATATGACATAGCCCCAGGACAAAAGCTAAAGAAAGTACAGAAAGGAAGAGGGAAGACATTGCAGATGTGAGAAAAAGCAAGCCAGCTAGGCCACGATAGGAAACTACAGGAGTTTTCTGGCATGAGAAAGTAGTCTCGCTTTGCAGGAGCTGGTGCTCAGTGGAAAGTTACAATACGCTGTTGAGAATGTTGTCTTTAGTTAATACCCTTACAGTCAACTGAAATTAAGGCTGGCCATGTAAGAATTCCCTCTTGCTCCAACTCCTGGACCATATAATCCTATGCTTTGTTTCGTTGTCATCTATATGGATGGTTCCCCCCCAGGGGGACTACGTCTAATTCCCTGATGCTATATATTACCTAGCATCTCACTGGAGTCCAGTAGACAGTTAATCATAATGGTGAAAAGTGTCTGGTATGTTGAAACTGTTTTCTCTGGCAGAAGCTAACCTCTCTAGAAACAGAAACAAAAGTCCTTCCAAATGGCATGACGGGCCCAGTGTAGTGAGTATCAAATTCATTTTAAATCCTGCCTACACTAACCTATGTCACCATGTAGCTATTAGCCAATTTAGAGAGAGGTCTCAGCCATAACCCTATGGATAGTATCATAGTTTGCCTAAATATTATTGTAGGAAAATTCTGGAAATGCCTTACTTGTTAGCATGTGTTAACCCACATGTGTCAAACACAAGGCCCGCGGGCCAAATCCGTCCCGCCAGGCCTTGCAATGTGGCCTGCACCGCGCTGTCATCACTGCACTCCGCTGCATTTCCATCACAATGACAGTTTATGACTGTTCAGTAAACCATTCAGCCCGCGATTTAGGCTGGATTTTAGATTTTGGCCCCTTCTCTGATTGAGTTCGACACCCCTATGTTAACCAGTGGCCAGCTACCACTTTCTAGGTTCTATGCAGGGCATTGTGTTATTGGTCCAGCTTATTTGGGAAGCAAATAGGAAAGAATCTTTTAGAACAAATGCTACAATTGAGTAGCCACCAATGGGTACAGATATGCTCTATCTTTCCTAGGTTTGCTGAGATTTAAAATTAGAAATATTTCACAGAACATTTTCGCTTCCCTTGGAAAAGTGGAACATCTGGAAACCGTCAACCTACATTTTCAATGGCAGCAACTGGTTGGAGTTAAATAGCAGCCGCCCTTTTTGATTAGTATGTGTATTGCCCCATGTACCACAGTCCTCATCACTTCCTATCGCATATATCTACCCTGTTGTACTTATTTTTATGGCTTCTTAGCCTTATGAATACTCTTTCCTAGAATGTCTAGTTCAAAAGATTTGAGGTGGGATAAGAGGATTTGCATTTCTACCACATTCCCAGGTGCTGCTGCTGGTGTGTGGATCCCCTTTGGAGACTGACCCTACAGTATTGTAATACAATACAAAGCCATGTGAGGCTAGTGGGGCAGTATGTTCCCCACCAGGAATAACAGTGGGGTTATAAGAAGAAGCAGAGTCTGATTCAAAACCCCATCTTGAGAGCATATCCGGTTGGAAACCATTCTGTATATCCCTGCCTCTTCCCCCAGTGATCCTCTGAGATCCATTGAATCCCCAGAAAACCCTGGAATGCAGATGTAGTGATGATGAGTCTAATTTAGGATTATAGCAAGGGTAATCATTATATCTCAGGACACAAGTAGTTAGAGCTCATAGTCAGTGAACAAGGGCAGAAAAGCAAGGGTTGAAATTTAACATTCTTACATATCTATTGGGCCATGATGGGGAGGCCCCCACATCCAGTGTTTGATGTTTGGAGGAGGTCTAATTCAGCAGGCTGAAGGCAGAGAAGGTGGGTCTAGCATAGACAAACACGAGCTCCAAAGCCATGTGGAGCACTGCATTGGGGGTTCATTGGGTCACTGGTGATGATTGTTTTCAAAGAGTTAATCTTGTGAGGACCTACAATTGAGGTGGGTGCATCTGGAGTGGGACTCAGGAACAGGACTCCAGACTGGCAGGACCGCTGGAGGGATAACAAGGCAGATGGCCTGGATAGGGACTAGGTACAGAAAGCAACTACAGGGATCTGTTTTCCAAGAGTGCCATCCCGTGTAGAACTGGGTTTCTCCATTACTGGATTTGACTATCAAGGTCAGAGCAGAACTAGCAAGAAAGGTGGTTTCTTCAGTCCTTACCATGTTGGGCTTCTTAAAACCTGATTAAAGTCAAGATTAGTCTAATGACATGGGACCTTTCTCACATATGGGCAGAAAAAGAAGGTAAAGGTTGGGAGCTAGATAGGACCTGACATGATTGAAATTTATTACTGTTCAGTCTACTTAAAATCTCTATGAAATTACAATAATAACTAGGTCATCATGTGCCCATGATAGCCACTCACTAACCTAGTTCAGAAGTTTGTATTTTTGTACAAAATTAAGACTGAATAAATTACCAGCCATCTGCCTTCAGTTTCCAATGTAATTATTTTATTTGTTTATTTAAATAGTTATGTCTATATAATTTGCATATGTATTCTTCCATGAAACATATTCTAATTGGGATTGTTAAGCAGTGGTATATTCCTGTTAATTCCGGGAGTGACCATACAATATTTTTATTTCAATCTTATGGAAAAAATCTTTTAAATCCCCTTATCTATTTCCTGCTTAATGTTGCATAATGAAATAACAATGTCCTTCTTTGTTGAAAAATTGAATAGGGTCCTCAATCTGGTAATGTAGGTAAAGCAGATATAAAATAAATGTTTCAGAATAAATGTTTTAGAAGTTGGGGTATGTGGGGATGGAGAGAGAATGGTTTCTATTTCTCAAATTAAATCATTGCTCTTAACTGTTGTTCTAATGGTTTTACACTCTGTAAACTAGGGAAACTAGTCCTGATTAGTTGGGGAGTCTGGTTGAGTTTCTGCTCAGATGTAACACCCATGGGCTTGGGGTATTATGTGTTTGATTATAATAAACTATAGAGCAGATAATTCCCTTTTTCCCTTTAATGATATTACCTTCGTTCGGATTATGATTATCACCTAAAACCAGTTGTGTGTCGCATGGCATCCTCATTGTTCTGTTGGAATCTGAGTACCCTGCTTTCCTCTAGTCATCTCTAAGGAGCCTCAAGGTTTACTCTACAAGAAGAGATTTAGGACTGGACTTGCTCAGGGGGGGAAAAAAAAAGCAGCAGCAGCATTATTTTATTATAAATCAGTTTGAAAACCAGTATATAAAGGAAGACCTCACTGTGCTCAATGTAACATGTGAACCAAAGGCAATGTTCAGTGATGGAAAGGAGACTAAACCTGCTTTTTTTTTTAAACAGGCTCATGCACAATTAGTTCGAGAAGTTGATGTGGAGAAGGTGTCTGCTTTTGAGAATCCCTACGTAGATGCAATAAAGAGTTTATGGAATGATCCTGGAATCCAGGAATGCTATGATAGACGAAGAGAATATCAATTATCTGACTCTACCAAATAGTGAGTATTCACCAGGATTTCTCTTTACTTTCATGTGCAGGGGTTCCGCAATGATAACTTCTGTGCTCTGTGCTTGGTACAGAGTATCTGATTCAAACCTAAAAGTTAGGAAGTATTGATATTAAACTTGTGACCAACTCATAAGGAACTGGCATGAGAGTTAGGAAAGTGTTTCTTTTACTATTTTCTGTTTGAAAAATCAACTGAAGAATCTAGAAATCTGAGTTCACCAACTCATCTCTTCCCCAAAATTGCTAACCAGTGATTCTCAAACACAAATGCCATTGTAATTTGAAATCTTATAATATTAATTTCTAATACAAATTTATAATCTCATTCATATGCTAGAAAACACTGACACACAGTAAGAACTGCAAATACATACATTTGATTATGGCTTCTAAAGCATCAGACTCCTTAGTTCCCAGGTTCCAGACACAGAACCTTGACTGCTTTCTTGGAGCCAAAATTATGTTGATGGATAGGTTTATCTCTGCATGAAAATTGCATGTGAGTCTAATTTTGCATGCATGCCAAAGTTATTTTGTGAGCTGTCAATCAAAATCATGTGTCCTGGGAGAGATTTGCATCCTAGAGAGATTTGTGAGTTCTCTAGATGAAATCTGGCCTAACAGAAAGAAAGTAAAGACTTGGCCATCACTGGATTAATGTAATCAATGCAGTCAGCAATCTAGATAATCAGGCGACTGAAAAATGGATTTTTTGGTGGTATTTAGCCAGATTTCTGTCTACATTAATTATATGAGCCAGTATTTGCCTCTTGTGTTGGTTCGGGGCAGACAGAAGAATGAGTGGAAAATATGCAGCTGCCTAAGGTCAGTTTATATGATGAAATGGAGAAAATAAGGAGCCCTGGAGGCTGATTGGCTCACTCAGTAGTGCATAGGGGATCCAAGAACTAGTCAGCTTTGTTTTTTCTATAAAGTTGGTCAAGCTTTTACCCTAGTTCCAGGCATTTGTATAAGATAAGTTATGATTCATGTAAGCCACAGAAATGTTGCCTGGTCAAAATAGTTCTGGTATTCTTAAAGTAAAATTGAATTACAGAATTCTGAAATGGAGCATAGAATGCTCATGAGCACTGAATGTGTCAATCATATTTTATCTGTATTAACTCCCTTGTGTGCTTCTGAAATGTGTGCTTTACCCATTCCTTATTTTCCTTTTCCTTCTTCATGTCACTCTTCCTATCCATAGTCTTTCTTTTCTACCATCTAACTGCCTACTTTCCCTCTTCATCCATCTTTCTAGCTCTCTCCTTCTCTTCCTCCCTCTTTTGCTCTCTCTTGAGCTCCTACCATAAAAGTTTCTGAGTACAGACATGAAAAAGATGCATTCAGCTCTTGTTTGTTCCAAATTCTGCCCCCTCAACCTTTGACCAGCTGTCTTTCTTTACTTCCTGCCCCCTCTGTCCTTCTGTTTCCTCTGCCATTTCAAATCAAATCCATCTCCCGAGGTTGTTGTTGTGTTTTGTCCCTTGTTCTCTGTTCCTGTTCATTGTGTTTTCTCCTCTCTGTGTATTTACCCCTCCACCCTCATTATTGATTCTCCTATAACTCTCTTTGTGATGTCTCTTCTTGCCCTTTCTAATGAATAAATCCTCCATTATGAAGGTATATTTTTATGAGGAAATCTTCCAACTCTCATCATTTCTCACCCCTCTTACTTTTATTTTTCTCCTGTTCCCATGTCCTGTCCTTTACCTGTCACATATCTGTTTATCCTATAGAAGTCTTGCTATTTGGGACATCAGAACACCGGATGTCTAATTAAGTGTGTGCTTACCAGGGTTAGGACTTCCTGTTAGCAAACTGTTTTAACTCCTTCTTCTGAGATAGGCCCTCTGAGTAGAATGCTGAACTGATGTCGTGCACTGGTTTGCCTATCATTGGTGAAGGCAGTGTTCATCACAGTATAGGACACAGACACTTTCCATTATGAAGTCGTATTCTTCCTCCTGCCACCAAAAGCCATCATCGTGGCATCACTGAGGGGTCTTCAGTTCCTCATCAACTCTTTACTTATAGCTTTCATTTCAATGGATAATTATTGCTTAATTTAGTAGTTCCATTAGCATTTGTGAAAGAAAGATTGTCTATTTCTGTCAGTTGGTCTACACTGGCATTCTTCTGTGAAGTAAAAGGTCTTCTCAAATGGTGCTCTTTGATTATCCTGAAATGTATTTTCTACTGAAAGGTATATATTTCAATCATTTCTGTTACACTAATTTGTTACCATGCACTAAATAGATGGGGTGAGGAACCTTTTCTCTGCCAAGGGCTATTTGGATATTTGTAACATCATTCGAAGGCCATAAAAATGACCTAACATAAAAATTAGCCTGCTGTATTTGGTCAAATATTTAATTAATTCATCCCAAATGCCTTGACAGGGCCAGATCAAATGATTTCATGGGCCTTATATAGTGGACGTTCCCTACTCCTGCACTATGTCATCTATCTTAACACTTTGTACATGTCTCTTGTGTCTGTTATCGTGTTTACTAGGTCTCTTTCCTTCCCTCAGTGCCTATCAGTAACTGCTCCTGTTTTACCTTCACAAATGACTTTTCTATGAAAGAATAGATGGGTACTTTTCCACTATTTCGATGACCATGATGTAGGTAGGCACTGTCTTTCCATGGCCTCTATAAATGAACTAAGAAGTATAAGTGCTGAAGGCACTCAATTCAAATGTTTTTGTCTTGATGTTTTTGAAGGTCTGGAATCTGAAAGCTTTTTTATAAAAAACAACAGTAGCTACTACTTACTGAACACTTATTATATGCTAGATTCTGTGCTTAGTCATTAATATGCATTATTTTATTTAATACTCAAAGCCACCCAAAGTGGTAGATATTTCTTATCATCCCCATCAAAGAGAGGAAGAAAATTGGTATTAGAGAGGTTGAGTAACTTGTTCAAGGTCACACAATTAGTAAATGAGAAGAGTAGGAATCGGATTTAGATTTGCTGCCTCTAAACACCAAGTTTTTAAGTACTGTGAAATATAGCCTCACAGAGGATGGATAGATGGATGGGAGATAGATAGATAGATAGATAGATAGATAGATAGATAGATAGATGTCTAAGATTAGATAAATCATATACCATGAAAGGTACAAATTATTAATCTTTATCAATGTTAAAGTCAAGGAAAATTATATAGAGTTTTTTGAAAAACAGACCTAACATGGTTTTGATTATCATCCAGAAAACTTAGCCATGCTGAACAGGGCATCAGTTATTCAGACAACATGGATGATGTTCTGAGTCACAGATAATTTCAAAATATTATTTCTTTATTTTAGCCTATACTCTTAATCACTTCTGCACTCCATCCAATAACTTTTTGCTGAAGTCAAAATAAAGCCAGTAAGAAAGACACAATGAAATTATTTGAGCTTCCCTGTTTCTACTTTGATTAGTCAACTTGCTGATCATAACAGGCAATCATATGGCTCAAAGGACAGGCAGCATTGGTAGAAACAAGGAGATGAGAAATTCCAGATGATGGATAAGCAGTTTTGGATAAGTTGCCTTTCATTTGGTGCTTCTTCCAATTCTCTTTAATGCAAGAATAAAAGCATTCTAAAATGCTGAAGAGTTTTCACAAATTATTTTATTTTTTTGTTATTGATTTTGAAAAAAAGCCTGAGGGCTCTGAATAGCTTTAGATAAAGAGCACAATAAACAGATGGCTGTAGGTTTACTTTTTTTCCCGGGGTTTACCACCTGCTTTAATATACTGAGACATCAGGTCAAATGAGTTCACTGCCTACAGAACCAAAAGCTCCCTGACATTAGCCAAAGAACACAAACTTCAATCACATCGGCATATAGTGAGAATAGTCCTTATTCTTCAGTCTTTTGGCAAAAGACTGACTACTCAGTCTGTGTACAGCTTATGAAATCAAATCATTCCTAATCTCACTTTACTGAAGTCCCCCCAAGGAGTTGAGTAGATCACACATCTTCTTTAAAATAATTTAAAAAAATTTTTTTCAGTTGCTGTTTACATTATTTTATTTGTTTTAGGTATACAGCATAGTGGTTGGACAGTCATGAACTTTACAAAGTGTTCCCCCTGAAATTTCAAGTATCTAACTGGCACCATACATACATATTAGAATATTATTGACTCTATTCCCTATGCTGTACTTTACATCCCCATGAGTATTTTATAACTACCAATCTTTACTTCTTAGTCTTTTCACTTTTTTTTCACCCAGTCCTCCATTCCCCTTCCCTCTGGCAACCATCAATCTGTTCTCTGTATCTATGGGTCAAATCAGTCACCTTGAAATTTCCATATGTTCTAGAGCCCATAAATCCAACATACATAAATAAATTGGCTTTGGGACATAAGTCAGCATTGGAATTTACTTCCAACTCCATGCTTAGATTTTTAACTTAATTTTTAAATCACAAATAATTTGAACATTGAATTTAAATGCAAAACTAATTTCAGAGATATGTTAGCACGTCCACCTGATTTAGGGCCAAATCCTTCTTGAAGGGGTATCTTGCTAAAATGTTCCTGAAAGATGAGCTGTATACTGGTATTTCAACTCCAGGGTGTGTTGGCTATCTCTTGCAGCCATCCTGACTTTGTTCTCAATCTGATGATAAAAAAGAAGTGTAAGCCTACTTCAGGCTTTTGGAGATAAACAACTATATGGTGAAAACATTGAGTCCGGGTCCAGTGGTTGAATTTCCTATCATCTCTGGGCTATTGACGTGCCTCAGAAATCGGTGTCTGATCTACTAAACTTCATGAAGGGAACTTCGGTAAAGTGAGATTAGAAATGATTTGATTTCATAAGATGTACACCAACAGAGGAGTCTTTTGCCAAAAACCTGAAATCTGACTTCTGAAAATTCATTTCTAAATTCAGAAGGCTTTTGAGTCCGTGATAGTGGGCTGCCTGAGAAACCATTATCCTGTGCAAGCAGGTGAAACCCTAGCCCCCCAAATTT